TTAAAATGGCCTGAGGATGATGTAAATAAGAAAGTGAATCAACCAGAGAGGTAACCAAAATAGGCATGGGAAATGAATGATAAGATTCTAGGTCCACAAACTCAGGAGCTGTCTGGAGCTGGCTCCAGTTCTGGCCTCCACTGTGTCAGCAACACTGTGATCTCTGCTCCTTGTTTCCCTCAAGATCCACAGCCATGTGACTCCATGGCGCTAGCTCTCTTGTCTTGAGTCAACTTTGCATTTATCACCAAGAACTAGATGGTTCCATTTCTCTGAATCCAAAGCCCACAGGGTTCCACAGTCTTCAGTTCAGACCAAGGAAAGCATCATGTCCAGGCTTACTGTGGACGTACCTCTGCCAGGTGTATTTGAAAGTACAAAGGATCCACACGGGCTGGGATGCTCAGCTCAGTTTAACAAATGCTGGGTGGAGACCCTGAGAGAGAAGAGGCTGCTGGAAGACAACAGGATCCCCTTTGTTCCAGCTGGGTGAGGTCTGATTAAGGAATCCCTGCAGGGTGTCTCAAGTCCTGGAAAAGGTGCAGCCAGCAAAGCTGGAGGGACAGTAAGCATGAAGCCTTGTCCACGGTTGCAGTGCAGAAAACACAGAATCTAGTTTTTCTCCTTAACTGCCTACAGTCTCTGAAAACAATACACGGGTTCCTGTACTTAAGGCAGCAATACTCCCTGAATTCTTAAATTGATCATTTTCATTCTTGTTGGTTATTTTATTTCCCTAGGTTTTAAGAAAATCATTTTTTACTTTTAGCTCACATATATCTTTACCCTACTATTTAAGTAGATCTCCACACTTGCTTGCTTTCTGGTTTACTCTGGATTATTTAATGATCATCTCCAAATTGCTAGTTTTTCTTAACTTAGAAAATGACAGGAAGGAAACATGGGTAGAAAGAGGACAGCTATCAACACATACCTTGTTGGGCGTCCCCTGAAGCGTCCTGTCCTGTAGAAATGACCTCTCCTATTCCCTGTTGATTCTTCTATTGTTAGCCTTTAGATGAAAATATAGTATAAAAAGATACAGGATTTGTAGCCAGATGTACGGAGTTCAGTTTTCAGCCTTTCTGCCTTTAACTTGTCTGATTAGCCCCTTCCAGAACTGTTATAGGAAAATGACTCAAACCGCTAAAGCATCTGGTTTAGGATTTCTTATAAAGTCAAATGTAGCCTTTCCATATAAACTAGCAACCAACTACTAATCCAACCCAGAAGTAATAAGAACTATGTGCCTCCCCCACACACAAGAGCAGCTCAGCTTAAAGCTACAAAAAGCTCAACCTTTCTTTCTTTAGTGAATGTCACCATTTGCTGTGACACACCAGAACAATGGACTGCTGCTGAGGACAGGAAAGAAAGAATTGATGATGCATGTTATGTTATGGACAAAGCTCCCAAATGCTCTGCAGAACTAAAAAAAGACAGACTCCACACAGACTCTCAGATATTTATGTCAGATTTGGGCCAAGAAAGCTGAGCAGTAGTTGTCAGGGCTGAACACAAAAGCAGAGTTTTGAGCCTGTGAAGCACCCCACATCTAGATTATGGGGCTAATTACCCTATAGCAAGCAGTAAGACAACCTCACAGAACTGTGCATGAAGACAGTGGATCACGTTATACACAAATCGTACCTTAGCAAAAAAAAAAAAAAAAAAAAATTCAGATTGCATTCAAACCATGGCTCCTCAACATTTTGGCCATATAACCACAAGGTACATAACCTTTCCAAGTCTCATTTTCTTGTCTTATAAAACAGAGCTAATAACTGCAGAGGCTGCTGGGAAGATGTGAATGAAATAATGTACCTAATTGTTTACTATAATGCCAGGCCATTCAAGAACTCCATAAATGGTAGTTATTACTACCTTTATTCCTCATTAAAGAGTTAGGAGATTGTTTAGGGAAGAGATTTCTAAACAGAGTTATATGGCTGCTCTTTAAATGGGAAATCAGAGTTTTATTAGAGAGCTTATGAAGAATACTGGAGCCTTATAAAAATAAAGACATGTCTTTTACTTCCTCAGCAAAATTTAATTTCCTCTATGAATTCTCAATTCTTTCTCTAAATGTTGATGGATGGCTCCATAGTCATTTGTTTATCTTTCTGGAGAGAATAAAGGCCATGATGGATAAACTTGAATCCCTGGAAGATAGAGGAAAACATGAACAAATGGATAACATGCAGAGCCTGCACTCCAGCCCTATGGCAGCATCTATTCATCTAGCCAATGAGCAGCTGTTTGCGCCCAGTACTCATGGTCCCAGGAGCTGGAGACGCAGCAGTCACCAACAGAGGCAGGAAGATGTCATCCTCAGGAAACTTGGGTGACACAGCCCTGGACAGTTATTGAGCCAGTTTTCTGTGGCCCCCTTACTTCCACGGAAATCCAAATGGCATATCTCTGCCTGCTGATCATTTAGGAAAATCACTCTCACTTAGCCTCATGATGGCTACTCACAGGCCCTGGCACCGAGATATCTTCTTTTTTAACAGCTATTGGGTGATTGATTTTGGTAGTACTGAGGGTTGAACCCGAGGCCTTGACAATACAAGGCAAATGTTCTACATCTAAGTTACATCACCAGCCCATGACTTTTTATTGTTAAATGATCAGAAATTTTTAGAGAAGAGACAGGTGATCTAGGGTACCCTCCAGTCAGCTTCCTCTTATCTTAAGATTTTATATAACTCTTACTTATTAAGCCTAAGAAACACATCTTAGTACATTGTCATTGCCTGGAAGACCGGACATGGTTAGATTTGAGCCCACATTTTTTTAAAAATATTTTTTATTTTAATTTTTATTAATTACATTTTATTCACTTTGTATCCCCCCGTAAGCCCCTCCCTCCTCCCCTCCCAATCCCACTTTCTTTCCCCCTTCTCCACCCATGTCCCTCCCCAAGTCCACTGATAGGGGAGGTCCTCTCCTTCCTTCTGATCCTAGTCTATCAGAGCTCATCAGGAGTGGCTCATTGTCATCTTCTGTGGCCTGGTAAGGCTGCTCCCCCCTCAGGGGGAGGTGATCAAAGAGCAGGCCAATCAGTTCATGTCAGAGACAGTCCCTGTTCCCATTACTATGGAATCCACTTGGACACTGAACTGTAATGGGCTACATCTGTGCAGGGGTTCTAGGTTGTCTCCATGCATGGTATTTGGTTGGAGTATGAGTCTCAGGAAAGACCCCTGTGGCCAGATTTTTTGGTTCTGTGCTCTCTTTGTGGAGCTTCTGTCCTCTCCAGATCTTACTACTTCCCACTTCTTTCATAAGATTCCATGCATTCTGCCTAACGGTTGGCCATAAGTCTCAGCATCTGCATTGATAGTCTGCAGGGCAGAGCCTTTCAGAGGCCCTCTGTGGCAGGCTCCTAATTTGCTCCCTGTTTTCTCCTTCTTCTTATGTCCATCCTCTTTGCCTTTTGGGATGGAGATTGAGCATTTTAATCAGAGTCCTCCCTCTTGATTAGTTTCTTTAGGTGTACAGATTTTAGTAGGTTTATCCTATATTATATGTCTATATGAGTGAGTATATATGAGTGGGTGTCTTCCTGCTTTTGGGATAGCTCTCACTCAGGATGATCTTTTCCATTTCCCACCATTTACCTACAAATTTCATGATTTCCTTGTTTTTTTATTGCTGAGTAATATTCCATTGTGTAGATGTACCACAATTTCTGTATCCATTCTTCAGCTGAGGAGTCCACACTTCTTAACCATTGATTGAAACTCTCTTCAGCTTCCAAACTTTCTAGTACCTTCTTGGTTAAATGGTTTTCCTCTCTTCAGACTTGAAGCTCAGGACCTTGTTATGGTTTGAATGTATTTCCCAAAAGTTCATGAGCAGAAAAATTATGTTAATGTTATGTTCCCCTGTTTCCCCATTTTCTCCTGATAATCAGTTTCTTCCTAAAAGTCACTTAATTTCTAGCCAGACTAGCCTCTGAATGATTTGTGACTTGAACTTGTGCCCAGCAAGCCAGCTCCCAGGGAAGCGCTCCTACTCTTACACTGTGTTACTGTTAAAGTCCCAATGCTGTGCCAAATATGGCGGTGTGTGCCTGTAGTCCCAGCTCTCAGCTAAGGTGCGTGCGTGCTAGCCTGGGCTACATAGTGACACCTAGTGTGAAATGAATAAATACAATTTCAACATAGCATCACTCCCAAACTCGACACTTCGGCAGTCTATCTAGCGTGCACATCTAGCACAGATCTTCAGCTGACCCCTGGTGTCATTTAATAGACCTCTCTGCTTGACAGCGTAATCTTTTTCTCCCATCAGTCTCTGGAACTGCACCATAGCCTCATCATTTCATCTTTCTATCCAAGCTATAGTCACTGTATCCTTTTAAATAGTCACGTAAATGTAAAAGGGATCAAGCTGATATGAGTAAGGATGGTGCTGCTGGTCTTCCATTGTTCACGGCTTTATGCAGTGTCCTCTCCTCTTCAACAGACTGCATAATCAACACAGCACTCTAGACATCAGGTGACTCTCAAAATCAGGATAGAAAAGAAACTGCAGCCTCCATCTTGCCAACCTAAGCTACTGTCCTGGCAGGAATTAAGGTACTGGAGCATGAGATCACATAAGCCATTCTGTAGGGAAAACTTTTTTTTCTTTTTTTAGGGGTGGGGTGGGGGAAGGAAAGGGTCTCATTGTGTAGTTCTGGCTGGCCTGTAACTCACTAAGTAGACCAGGCTAGCTTCAAACTCACAGATTTGTGTAACTGACTTTTAACTGAGTCGCCATGACTAGATTCATGGAAGTCACTCTGGAGAAAACCATCAGGGAAGAATGGGAACCTCTGGGCTCCACCTTGAAAGTGGAATCCAAGCAAATCCCTTTCATGTAAGCAATGTCACAAGATGCCATGATATAAACACAGAACTGTGTGTCCCCTGTATTCCTCCCCCCCCAAAACAGGAAAGAATTGTAAGCACTTTCATTGCTTTAATTTGGATCGATTTAAGATAATTTATTATGCAGTCATAAATGAATTTGGTAGAAGAAGACTAGAGGCCAGGTGACCAGGTAGACATCATAAATAGTCAGGCAAGTGTTGGCAAGGGCCTGGATACTGTGAGGCAAAGATGGATAGCAATGAACGATCCTGGAGATATTTAGGAACAGAAATCTGCATGAAGTTGAAAGGATGTGGGTGTTTTCGGCACATGCAATTATTCTCAGCTTTCTAGCTTTGTTGGCTGGGTGTCAAAAGTTAAAATAGAAAAGGCAGGAGGATGATGTGCAGAATTATGAGTTTAAACCTGAGGCACACTGAGGTTTCTAGCAGATGTACTGCCAAAGGCCATCACCGCCAGCACCAGTGCCTACTTCAAAGGCCCCTTGTCACTCAGCTGCTTGGACTGCCCCGCCATATCTGATGCAGCTAACTCTTTCTTACATGCACATTTCCTGCTTCCTAGGATCAAGACTTTCTGGTTGCTCTGGAGACCTCACATTTCCTCATTATTGCAGTCTGCTTAGCCGGTGCTAAGGCTCTTAGGACTCCACTTCAACCTGCTTCTTTTCATGCTCCCAACATGCTGAAGCAAGGCCCCAGAGTCTAAGATTTATCTCCCAATGTTAGATAGAATGGGGCTTTATTACAAATGTTTATAGCAATGTATTCACATTTCTAATTGCAGTCTCTGTGTTCTACTAATATTATTCTCATTTTCTGTGATTGATGTAACTCTGTATGTATGAAAATAAACGCAGACGCACCAACACATACATATCAGAAACTTGGGACACTATGGGGTGAGGGGCTCTCAAGAGCACATGGCTGAGGACCGTGAGTTAGTCATCAGAACTGTTTGCTAACATTGCTGTTGCTCCTCTGGACACATCATAGAATTCAGTTTCCATACCCCTTCACTCTTAAACTAAAGTGTGGCCATCTTTCCCCTTGCTTTCAGCCATGAAATAAATGTGAAGAGACAGAACATGTGCAATACCAGGCAATACGAGAAGCTAGCACCCTTTACGGAGTTTTCTTTCCCTTCGTTTTGATGCTGGGGCCCTAAGAGACTAAGCAGAGCTTGCTGCTGCTGCACTGTGGAAGCCGAGAACACGGGAGAGGAATGAGTGTTTGCCGAATGAAGTCAGTGGTCTTACGAAAAGCCAACCGTTGCCGAGTTTCTACTGTTGGATACAGCTACAATAACAGTCTAGCTAATTAAGAGGCCATGCCCTTAAGTTCTGAGGCCTCTGGTACCAAGTAAGTAATATCTGAGAACAAGTGATTTTAGATACCGAGTTAAACAAGCATCCCTGATGCGCATGTCATCCTGGGTTATAAATTCCAGTTCTAGGAGAAGTAGCTGAAGATGTCTGCCTCTTCTTTTCATTTTTAAAATGGAAGATCAATACTTGGCTGAGAACTGTCCTTTCATTTTCAGTTTTAAAACTTAAACCAAGTTTAGAGTGTACTTTAAATCTCTCCTGAGCATCCTCTGGACCACCAATGCACTAAAAAATGTTCAGGATACTATGTGAATGTTCAAGGTGGTAGAATAAAAGTATGAAAAGTTGACGGGAAATTAACTTTATTATATTTCTTCTATCATCTTTATATGTTAACTAAATATTACCATGTTATGATAGGTCACTATTTCACATTAATCTACATAACTTGTATAGTATTGGCCTAGAAAAAAAAGCAGAATTCTATTAATTCACGTTAAAACACGTTTTTAAAGAGTTTTTCTACAGTATTACATAATTATATATATCTGTGCACGTGTGTGTCTGCATGCATGTGTGTGTGTGTGCATGCAGAAAGAGGAAAAGAAAGAGAAGTTAGACTATATAGTTTAGGTTGGCCTCAAACTCACAGGCCTGTACCGACTGCTGAGGGACAGGATTGCAATCATGAGTCACCATGCCTAGCACATATCTAAAATAAAAGCCTTGTGAAAACTTCGCAAACATTTCAACACTGTACCTATTGACCTATTGTTACACGAGGGAATTACAAACGAGGGCAAACATGATAAACAATAGAACAATAGGACACCGTGGTGTCTTCCTTATGTCTATATCATTCTCATTAGCTGAATTTTTCTGGAAAAACGAAAGACCCCTTAGAAAGAAGAATATATGAGCTATGCCTTGTTGGCTCAGAAGTCCTGTTTCCGTTTGCTTTTCTGTTGCTCTGATAACACACTGAGACCAAAAGCAACGTGAGCAAGTTTACTTGGCCTACTTCTGCATGTTACCATCCATTGTAGAATGGAGCCATGGCAGGAGCTCAAGGCTTGAAGCAGAAGCCACAGAGGGTGCTGCTTACTGGCTTGCTCTCCATGGCTTTCCCACCATGATTCAAACCAGAACCATCTCCCCAGGGATGCCAGGGCCCCCAGTGGACTGGGGACTCCAACAACAATCACTAATCAAGAAAATTCTCTACAGACATGCTCACAAGCCAGTCAGATAGAGGCAACTTTTCCACTGAGATTCCTTCTTCCACGGTGGCTCTTGTTGATGAAAACTAACCAGTATGCTGCGATCACAAACTAACGATACTTACACAATACATACTCAAAGTTCCTGGGCTGGTGTTGACATGGTCAACTTCCCAACACGAGAAATTGGATCAGGTGACCTATGCACAAAGGTGCCTGGTTAGGGCAATCTTACCATATGTGTGTCTTAATACCTAAGCTCTTTCTCATTACACAACAAAATGTTGCATTAAATTACATATGACATAAAAGTTATTATCAGGTAGCATGGTGAAACCACTGGTTCTAATCTAAACAATGAGCACACTTACTTATGTGTCCTTCTACACCTGGCTTTTGGTACAATAGGAGATTCTTGATCTACAGGTTAAGCAAGTCACTTGTTCAACAAGAATAAATGGGTGAATGGGTGTCTACCTAATAGTGGTGGCAGACAAGTGAGGACATGGTCATGGTACAGCTTCCCATGGCTTTGAGAAGAGCAAGCTGGGAGCTACAAGCACATTTGGTGGCCTGTCACCCCGTACAGGTGTTTTAAGGAAGCTTCTGGGAGGAGGTGCTGTTCCACAGTGGCCATAGCTCCACCGATAGACAAGCAACCACCTTTCCCACGAGGTGTGGCAGCGTGATGAAGCTGGCGATAGGATGGGTCATGGAACACAGATGTTGCTGCTGCAGTAATGGGCGGATGTGGTGTTGGCAATGCTCTGACCACCCTGGAGCGATGCGGTCACCATCTTCTACAGCAGCAGTTCTCCTTCTGTGGGTCAGGACCCTGTTGGGGGTCACATTTCAGATATTTAGATTGTGGTTCATAACAGTAGCAGAATTACAGCTATGAAGTAGCAACATAATGATTTTATGGTTGGGGTCACCACAGCAGGAAAGTTGAGAACCACTGCCTTGAGGTGAAGGTTGCTATCCTTCTAGCTGCCTTTCCTAAGCTTGTTTTCTTTGCTTGGAACATTCTAACCTTTTTTTCTTGAATGCCACTCCTCTTTCCCCACTTCTTCACAGGACTAGCAACTGTATTTTCTAAAATACAGTATTTTGACCATGAGATTGAGACCAGCGTAAGTGAAGGACAATAATGACTGAGGTCATATTACTCAGATGATGTAAAAATTCAGCTAGACAGGAGGAATACATTCAATAAACTCATTTTGTATCACACTGACTTTAATAATAATAATAAATTATAAGCTTGAAAACGTCAAGGGATTTTAACTGTTCTCACCATTGAAAATGTGAGGAGAGAAGCTGGAGAGACGGCTCAGTAGTTGGAGCACTGGCTGGTCATTTAGGGGACCCAGGTCCACTTCTCAGCACCCACATGGCAGCTAACAACTATCTGTAACTCCAGTTCTAGGGTACTTGACGTGCTCACACAGAGACTCATTTAAAACTGTGAAGTCATCCACAAGGTGTCATGGTTTAGCACTCAGTAATGCACATGCATTTCAAAATGTCTCTTCTTATGCCTTATAGACACACTATTTGGTCAACTAAAACAGTTTTTTGTGTAACTTCTGTAATTTCCATCTTCAAATGTGCCATTTCCATTAATAATGTTCTCACTGGTGTTTGAGAGCTCAGAGTGATCTTTGATTTTTGTTTTTGTTTAATTCGATTTCACTGAAATTTTGGAGCAATTATTAATCAGTGATATTCCCACATCTGAACTTAAATGATTTGAAAGTTTGTTGAAAATCATGAATTCTTGGCAACAAAAATCTCCTTCCTTGAAGAAATAGTTACTGAATATACTACCATATTCCACATTGTTCTGGTATCAGAGACGTAAGTGGAAAACCTGTTGAAAATTTTGTAACTTATCTTCTAAAAAGACAGAAACAAGGCAGAACCCAAAACACACTAAAACAAAAGGCTCAGAGACAGTAAGTCAAATATGTAAGGCGCTGAAGCAAATACCAACTGAGCCAGATGACAAGCATCTCAAGATGGTGGCAGGGATTCTCCACAGCGATGCGTACAAGCCACTTCACTTCCGGGCCATGTGCTGTAAGATAATATTCTTCAAAAGTGTCAGTCCTGGAAACAGACTGAGAAACTGCCTGATCACAGGTGACTAGCAGAGGAAGCATTACGACTAAGCTATGCAATGTGGCATTGTCCCCACTAGTGTGGAACTGAAAAGGGACATTGCAGGAAGAGATGATGAATTCCAAAATAAAGCCCGAGGCTTGGCTCCCACCCGGTGCTCTAATGCTTGGGTGGGAAGGGCGGCTTTTGCCAGGGATACAGCAGCCCGTTCTTAGCTACAGAAGGGAAACTTGGCCTTGACCTGAGCAAGCCCCCACCTCCTCTTTCTCTGAGTTGTTGACCTAGCAGTGGGAGTGCCAGAAACAAGTAGGGATTGGGGATGTGTGCGCTACAGCAGACAGTATAAACCATTCATTCACCTGGGGTGGGAGGACAGATTTCAGGAATTTACCATGAGGCCAGCAAGGGCATGTTTCTTCTCCTGCTCCATGCAAGCCCATGGGCTAAAACATCAGGCAGGCGGAGAGCTGAATAAGGAGGGCCGTGCTTTAACCACAATAAATCCATTTTTACAAACAGTTTGCATTTCATCTGAGTCAACAGTCATGCCAGAACGTTCATAGTAGTGATTACAGGACTCTTAGTGTGTGTCCAGTGCCATGATGGGAACTGCACTCCCATTTAATCTGCATCACCTACAACAGGGATTGCATGCCAGTACTATCACCGTTGTATAGGTTAAGAAACTGAAGCTCATGCTGTCTTTGCACAAACACGTGCATCTGATATGAGAAACCCTTGAGAGGTGACCTCATCATCCTCAGTGAGCATACAGTCTGGGCAAAGACATAGGGAACGGTGGTTACAACTTGGGCCCACTGTGCGGCTTACGGGCATGCTTGGCAGCCCTAGATAGGCAAGGGGTTATTTTTGTTTACACTTCTCCCCAAATTAACATTTGTAAGCCTATTGGTAGAGTCGATGATTCAAAACGTGGTGTGTGTGACTACATCAGTCATTTGCACTCTGGTTTAAATGGCTCTTACAGCATGGCAAGGTAACCCTGTGACTCGGGAAAGGCCCAAAGAGACCATTACGACTCAGTATCCACGCTGACTTCCAAAGAGTCCCTCTTCAAAGATATTTGGAGAACAAGTTCTTCAGCTTTGACCGTATGGCTTTGGATGCTAGGCCCATCGTGAGCAGCTTAAGCAAACAGCGTGTTCTTGTGCCAGGGTTTCTGAAATGCTCACAGCAGAAGCAGCTGGAAGGTCTGAGCTGCTCCAAATCAGGCTACTTGAAGGTTTTCATTTTGTTTTGTCTTTTGAATTCTTTGAGAGTTTCAAGCATTATAAGTCCTATCCTGTTTATTTGTGGTTTTTAAGAGTCTCTACTAGAAAAAAAAAATCCAGAAAGTGGTTCTGAGATGATGCTGCTTTTGGGAAAGAAAAAAATGCCTACCAACTTCTGCTCTAGGGAGTCAACAGGAATGCATATATTGTGTTGGCCTACTGAGTGCCAGGCTTGGCCAGGCACTTTGTATGATCTCCTTGTGTTTTCACCTCAGCCCAGTGAAGTGGCTTTTGGGAATTTGAGCAAATTACCCAAAAGTTCTCTCTTGAGGGAGATACTGGCTGCAATTCAAAACCATCTCCCAAGGAGTAACAACCTCAATTACTTAGCAAAGAAAAACTGCTTCCATCAGCTCCTCACTCATTCTCTCTCCCTCCCCACCTCGTGTGTCTGTATTTGTGTGTCTGGGGGTCTTTCTGTGTCTGTATGGGTATCTGTATGTGTGTGTGTGTGTGTGTGTGTCTGTGTGTGTTTCTACATTTGTGTGTGTGCATTTCTGTGCACTTCTGTGTGTTTGTATCAAATGACCCAACTTTTCAACACAATAACATGCTTCAAGTTTATTTTTTTTTCTTCGCTAAACTAGGAAACAGAACTTTATTATCAGTAAGCATTCTCTTAGGCATATTGTGGGTTACCCATTTTTCCTACACTTCGTGGGCCATCTTCTCAAATAGGTACAACAGCCAGGCCTGCTGCCTGGCCATGCAGAATTGCAGGTGAGGCTCACGAGGCCTCATTCTTTCAAGATACAGCTTACCCTCCAAACAGCAGAGGTGTTAAGAAACATATCGACTTGTCAGGGGTCACACTGTCCGCATGACTGATGAATGGCCCAAGCCTAGCTTTCCAGCCTTCTCCAGCTGTCACTGCTTACACTAGCTGCTCCGTGTGTGCTTCGCAGCTGGAGCTCATGGCAGGAAAGCATCTTCAGATGGACAAGGAAAGCGTCAGTGCTCTAGCTTGGCCACTGCAACCAGGCACCACACAGATGAGAGAATTTATACTTTCTCTTTGGGAAAGGAAAGGAAGACCATGGTGCTCTAAAGATAGTAAAATATATTCTAGAGACCAAAGACAACCCTAGAAAGTTTTCAGTTCAAAGCTGCCTGGAGGGGATTCACTCCAGTTTACTTACTGGCTATGGGGCTCTGAGGACAACTGGGTTCTTGACCAGTTTTTGTCAAACCCTAAGGCACTGTGCAGGGTGCCAAGAGTGTCCATTCTCTACAGTGGGGAAATCATGTCCATTAACATAACAAGCTTAACTAGGTAGACAGATGAGTGTTAGAAGTTGGTCTGATGCATGTTACTGCCCTCAAGATCTGGCTACACCCATCCTTGTTTCGTAAACCTGCCTAAAACATAGCTGATTGGCTGATTAAACGGCCTATACCTGGGCAGGGCAGAATGGGGTAGGCATGGCGAAGGTTCCTGGGATTTTAGATTCAAAAGAGAATCATGGGAGACAGATAGACAGGAAGCGAGGAAGAAGAAGGAAGTCACCATGGGTTAGCCTGGAGAAAGGACTCCAATGATGGCATGAAAAGGCCCAGATGCAGAATAAAAGCAAGTATTTATAAGATTATGGATGGAAGATAGGATGGTTAAAGAGGATGACATTGGATGGGGGCTGGCAGATGGATGGTGAGGTAATCCGGACAGCATAGGAATATCTGCTGGCCCACGGTAAATAAGGCAATTATAAAATCTAACAGGTGTCTGTGTATTATTATTTGTGCTAGTGGGTTAGATTATACTGCCATGATAATCATAGAGCAAATAATAAACATATAGCCCAACAGCCATTTTTTAATTTACTACAACGATGACGTGACCGTGCAACCTAGGCTGCTGCTTCCATATTGATATGCCCTCTCGTGCAAGAGCTCTGATACCATGTAACACTGGCTGGAACTGCTTGCTGCCTTCAGGATTTACTTCAGCCCTAAATGCTGAAGTTCTCAGGAAGTCAATTCAGAAAGAACATTGAAATCAGATTGAAAAGAAAAGCTGTCAGCCCCTCAACCCTTCTTTGGGGGATAAATAAGCTAAAGTCCCGTTGTATTTTTAAAACCTTTTGGGAAGCAAACAAAAAATAGAATAGCCAGGAGGACCAGAATGGAGTTTTACCTGATGATATTTCAGTATAATGGAAGAAGCCAAAGTAATTTCTTCATACACCGAAAATCAAGAGTTCACCAACAAAACCTCAAAGCTCTAAAATTTGTCGCCATCATGTTGTGTTTAGTTTGATCATCCTTTTGAGCTCTTCTGCTTCCATTCCAGTTTTTTAATGAGAAAGCCTTTTCCTTACAGTCATGCTCCCAGGTCTCTGGTCACCCATCATGCTCATCTTTCTTAGCAAACCCAAGACATTGAGGGAAGCTGCTAGCTCATTTTGTGTCCAGCCTGGGGCCCACCCCTTTCCTCGGGGCACCCAGGCACCAAAGCGTACAGGTGCTGGAATTCAGCTTAGCCAGGAGGGTGAGTCAGCAGGATCCCAATTCAGCTGTGATGGGCACTGGGGGAGACACAAGAACAGGCACAGAACAGAGACAGAGTGAGCCTTCTGCTGGTCTCAAGATTGAGATTTTCAGGATTTGGACATATCTGGACCTCACTCTAGCTCCAGGCTTGTTCTCCCACTATTCACATACCCCACAATTTTGTTTAAGCAGTGGGATAGTTCTCATTAGGGAGTATCCCAAAGACTCAGGCCAATGGCTCAAGATTCCAACATTTTAGTATCAGTTGTGCCAGCCCTTTAAAGGTGGCCTACCTCAGAAGAGGCAGTGACCAGAGTGAGAAAACCATGGTAGATACAGTACACGAGCAGGGAGTCCCTTCTCAGCAGTGTTCTACACTCAACGTGCTTCTCATCCCCCCTCTAACCCAGGCAAGAGAAGAGCAGACAAGAAGAGAAAGAGTTTTGAACACGGTGTACGGTGCTGGCCATACTCATCAGTGTAAACAAACAAACAAAACATTTTCTTCAGGAAACTGTTGGTATAATGTTCTTAGGGAATGTATACAATTTACCCTTGTTCTTTCAAATGCTGATTTCTCTATCCCACTATCTGGTTTCAATCTTGACTTTGCTTTGTGTTATTTATTCTAAGCATAATCTGTCTCAAGTTTGTGTAAACATGTCACAATTTTTTCTCTGTATTGTCAATAAAACAACCAGCCAATGCTGAACAATGGAGAGAACAGGATAGGACATCCTGGTCCAGAAAGGAAGAGAAAGAAGAGAGTGGAGGAGTGGAGAGGAGAGATCGGAAGGATAGGACTTGGAACCACCAGGAGAGATGAAATGGACCCAAGATATGACTGAAAGCAAGAATAATGTGGAAAATCTGAATGGGAGGAAACTACATGGGCTTGGAGGTTTAGGATGGAGTAATTATTACCCAGCATTGTGCTCTAAGTTAATGAAGCAAATCCTAGTCTCTGTGTGGTGATTTGGGTATACAGCTGGTTTAGGAATAACCGCTGTTTAACTAAAAGATAAATCAATAATAAATATTAATAATCGACAACAGGAGACACAAAACTGGTCCACAGGAGGACCAGCTAAAGCCACGGAACTCTGAAGCTCTACCTTCTGTTATAAGGAAGAGCACTGGAGCTCTCTGTGGGTGTGTTGAAGATGACAGCTTAATGCGTGGGGAAAATCTGTGCTGATGTAGGAACATTTGCTGCCTTGCTCTGCACGTGCCAAGAGACAAGGTCAAGGTCACTCCAGAGCCCTAAGCATAACCTCAAAGGGGAAGGATGGACAAGCCATCCTCTGACAATGGGAACCTTTCATGAAATCTGAAGCAATTTTCCATGAGGAAACTTTTTCGGCTCTGCCTGGCTCTAGAGGAGATGAAGCCTGGCAAGGGCCCCCAAATCTCAAATGTTGTGAAGAACTTCACAGAGCCACAGGCCTGACCTTAAGCAATTTCCTTGTTTATTTCTTTAGTTTTATGATGTCACTGGAACATTGCTAAGACTGGCCATTTTATAAAGCCTCAGTTAGAACCCTTTCTGTGACCTTGAACACAACCTCTTATCCAATAAACAGCTTGCTAACCACTTGTTTAGCACTCTCTGTTGGACAGTTGACACTTAAGTGCCTGGGCATGGGTAGCAAGCCACGAGGATTTGGGTCCTGACCATAATACTTCACTGTTAGGGAAAAAGTTGGACCTCAATTTCCTCATTTGAAAATCAGGTACTACAATAGTAATGATCTCAAAGGGGGGTTATATGCAAATGAGCACTATTATCTTAAGAAATTTGAAACGCTGCAACTTTTCTGCCTTCTCTAGGAAACATGGAAACAGCTCTTGCTGAGAACAAGTGGTCACAAAAATGTTATGGCTAAAATTAAATATTAACTTAATCATCTTTGACATTCTCCAGTAAACAACTTAGCAGCATAAAAAAAAAAAAAAAAAAAAAAAAACAAGAACAGAACATCAGTAGCTTGAGAAAGCAGGTCATCTATCTGTGCGCAGGCTTTTCCAGTGTTCAGTCTCTCAGGCCACATCACCACCCCCAGCACCGCTCACTACTTTCAGCTGAGTTTTAGGGTGTCTCGACTTAAAAGCAGGCCACGTCTCTGCATCGTCCTTGCCACCATTAGCTGTGGCACGCTGGACAGCGTATTCTGCATGATGTTGGTAAGGAGCACCTACAGGATGATTATTTTCCTCTCCACTTTTCTAGTCATTATAGATCAGAAATAGCTAAAACAAAACAAAAAGACCGAGTGACATGAAAAGGAAATTTGCATGTCTCGGGGCACGTGCTTCTTCAAGGATAGAGAAGTGAGGAGTCTGCGGCGCTGACAGAACCTGATAATTCTCAGCAAAGACATTTCCAGGAGCACCAAATGGCCAAGTTCACCATTTGTTTCTTTCCCCGAGGCTTCTCCGTTGTGCCTGCCTAACAACAAAATAAACACGTGCATGAAAAGACAGGAGTGTCCTTCAGAGGGGAAGGGCCTAGGTCTAATGTTAGTAAGCAAAACAAAACAGACAAAACCCTTGAGTTTGAACACCTCCACGTTGAGCCCTAGTCATGCGACCTGGAATAAGAGACTTGGCCTCTCTAGACCAGAGTGCTAGTGAAAAGGTCTGTAGGAGTATCCTACAAGCGACTGTGAGACTAAATCAGAGGTGTAACGCGGGTGAATACTTGAAACGTTGGAGTACTTGCCATCATGAAACTTTAACCCAGCTTACTCAGCGCAAGCCCTACTGCAACTTCAACACTCCGAACTGAGCTTAGACCAGCTTATGGGTGGGTTCCAACCACTGTATCATGGTGGGTAGAAAATGAGCATGTTCGCAGCCAGTCCTGTTATACAGAGCACCATGCAGGATTACAGGCAGCAGCGACTGCAGGGCATGAGCAGGAAGTAGCAAATGCAGCATGATAGAGGTGAATGTTTAAGAGAGCAGAGTTCTCCTGTAGAATAATGCTACCTTCTCAGGAAGAGAGGCAACAGTTTAACTACACTGAGATGCCTTAAAGAAATTGACCTCTAAGGGTCAGTGACTTAACTTCTTAAATTTTCACTTGAGTTGTTCTCTATGGTCAGTCTACAAGCCAGTTGAAACTGGTTTTCTAAGAGCAAATAAAATTTCCTGTGGCAGCATGGAAAAATTAATTACTCATAATAACTGTTCAGGACATTGTGTATACACCAAATGAAATGACGTGTCTTCTTAGTGCAATGTCAAAGTCCTGTTATAATAATCTGCTATCTGGAACACTTGTCTCTATATTATCCACTCAGCTAACATCTAAATAGCTTGAGCTAGGCAATAAATAAACAACAGACTAAAATCTAAAATAAGGCAATGAATTGGTGTTATATTTAAATGTACCAACATCCCATGTAGTGGGTAAAATATAAAAGGAATGTACTTGTTCATTTTTAATGTACAAACAAGTCCAAAGCTATTTCCAATGAACATTGAATACGTATATAAAACTCCACACACGCCTTGTTTAGTCAGTCTTGTACAAAAAGGTGCAATACTAATTCTACACACAGAAGAGGAGATTGCCAATATGAGAAACCTTATCTACGACCCATCTTCCTAGCCTGTTTCTAAGGTTGATGTGAGGCTGTACTTGACACATCTCTGATCCCCTGGAGTTCAGCATGCCCAGGGTGAGCCACATTTCCACCACAGCTCCAGGCATGCCGATTCTGAGGAGGACAGAGGCTTTGGTGAGCAGAGCCAAGATGACACAGTATGTTCCCCGCTTCTGATGAAGAACAAAGCCTGTGCTGGATGGAAGGCTAGCACCAAACACAGCAAGCAAGGAGGAAGAACACAGCAGCTGCAGAAAGCAGGCCTGGCATAGTCACACTCTTCCAGAATGTATCGAAACATTACCCGGGCATTTTACTCAATAACCTTGTGATAACAGAAATTTATAACCATAGTGACAACATCTAAAAATTCATATATGGAAATACATTTAATTTTTTTATAGCAAGGACAAATTGCAAACAATTTAAACTTCTAACACCAGGGGAGTAATAAATAAATCATGTTACTTCTTGGAAGGGAATGATTTATTATCTACAAAATTATGCTTCAGGAAAGTACTAATGAGAAAAATAACTGATTTCATTAAGTGATATGAAAGAAATAAAAGCATATATTATACAAAATCAATTTTGTAACAGTGACTATAAATATGGATATGATAGAAAATATGATTATCCCCCTTATCCACCTGAAAGGACAGGTCCCAAGGCAAATTCTTGATCTGATGAATGTTATGAAGATCACTGTAACCAGCTAGTCATTAAATGATGTCTATATCCCTTTTCTTAGATCCCAAAGAACTAAAACTAAAAAGATTAATTTTGCCAAGCATAGTGACCCATACCTTTAAATCTTAGCACTTGGGAGGCAGAAGAAAGGTGGCTCCCTGTGTGTTCAAGACAAGCCTGATGTAGAGAGAGAATTACAGGGCAGCTGGGGCTACATAGTAAGACCCTATTTTAAAAGAAAAGAAAAGAAAACCAAAGGAAAAAGAGCAATTTTTATAGAGGTCAATTTTTTTTAGATGTCAATTTTTATGGATTCATCAGTGCTATCTTCTCAGATCCCAGAGAAAGTTAAAGTTGATAAGACATTTGCAAAAGGATGGCCACAAACGAATAGTTCCAGTGTAGTACTGACATCATCACCTCGTTAAAATTAACTTTATGCCATAGGAACAATGTTAGCTATTGTGCAGCTTTAATGAAAAATAAACATTTAAATCTGGAACATTGGTAAGGAACACAAATAAAAAGGAAAGCAGGCTTAAGGAAATGCCCAGAGCTTCCCCAGCTCTTGCCAGAAAGATCTTTCACCTATGTGTACAAATCCCAAGTTCACACAGATCTCTGGAGCAATAAAAAAAAAAAAGTACTGTACAGCATTGCTGTAAATGTTGTGGACTGTGCAAGCGTGGAAGGCCACCTGTTCTTTGTGTAAAGGACACAGTGGGGCTGGGATCTGAAACCAAGAAGAGGAAGAATTAAATAAGGACACTGACCCAGACAGGGGCTGAGTCAGCTGGGGCGGCCTCAGACAGCACAGCCCTTGTATTGCTTAAGCTCCAGGGTTCACTTGCCCAAACCCAGAGGCCACAGCCAAGGAGGTGGAGACCAGAGAAAGACTGTTCCAGGGTTAAATGAGGATTAACCTTGGCCTTCCAAGTCACCAAGTCATCCAAACAGAAAACTGTAAAAGACCCAGAGTGTTTCTATTTCTGCCCTACTGACAGGCTCAGCCAAATACTCCAGACTTTTAAGACAGAAAGGGCTGGGTGCTGATCAAGCAGAGATATTCATTCACTTACCAATCCATGTGAGCCTCTTGCCATTACTGGCTAATTGCCTGATCCACAAAGTGGTGTTAATATCTACCTGGCAGAGGTTTAGGGGAGTAAAAGAAGCAGCCACTGTAAAACGCCTGTCACCCAGCAGGTGTTTAATACAGCCAGAGCCCTCTGCTTCTCCCCGTTTAGCTCCTTCTCTAGGTTCTGCTCTGCTTATTCACTGCCTTAAAACACTGAGAAAGAAGAGGAGGGGGATGAAGAGGATTATTTTAGGGAGCTCAGATATCATAAAACCTTCCCAATAAAATGAAGGGTTATTGAGCTCTAGAGGTTTGCTGTTTACGTCTAGATGCCAGTTAATGGTTCTTCCCTCCCCTCCTCTCCCCTCCCCTCTCTTTCCCCTCCTTTTTCCTCTCCTCTCCCCTCCCCTTCCCTCCTCTCTGTTCCTCTCTCCTTTCTCTTCTCCTCTTCTTCAACCTTATGTGTGTGTGAGTGTATGTGCGCGTGTGTGTGTGTGTGCACGTGCATGCTTTTTACAAAAATTATGCTGCTACCAGATTGTTTAACTGCAACCTTCTCTATGTGTGTTTCACATTAACTTTTGGGGTTTGTTACTTTATCTATTAAAAGAATTAATGAAATACAAACTTAAAGAGATAAAAATCCCCAGGCATATTTCAGAAGATAAGAAATGAGGCCTGTCTTTAGAACTTGATCTTAATTGCCTGAAGAGATGGCTTGATTTCATGCAGCTAATCCATATGAAATAAGTAGGTAAGAGGAGACTGACCAGAAGTATGTACTTGCAGAGGGGTCCTGTAACAAAAGATCTACACTGCAAATCTATTCATCTAACACACACTGGTTGTGAAAACTGTGGCCAGGGCTGGGCTCTAACCATGTGCCAAAACCAGATGAGGGTCACGGGTTTCCCTCAAGCCACTATTACACATAGTCCTGAGGCAAGAGCTACAAAGCTCACAGCTACTCACTAGCTGCATTCTTGTTTCCCATTTAGTGTCACCATTTGGGGCCCACGTGATATTTTACAACACACAGAAGTTTCCCGAATGTAATGCTTCTGGGGTAACGATGAGCTTGGAGAATGATGGGTTAGTCACATTTGCAAGCTGTAGGGGCTATGGACAGTGAGGCAACCCACAAATTAGAGGCTGGTCCAGGGAAAGCTGCTTGGAGGAAGGCTTTCTCACCCGGTTTGAAAGTGCCCTCTGTCACTACAGAATGTGGTTCTCTCTTGCCTGTTCCTAATCAAAGGTTTATGAATTTGAATTTCACAGCTGCTCTGTCCCAATGGGAGATGGCTAAGCAAAAAAAAAAAAAAGAGAGAGAGAGAGAGAGAGAGAGAGAGAGAGTTCTCTATAGAATCTGCCAGTTTCACAAGGCAGACTTTGTCACAATGGTCAGAAATAGAACTTGTCACCACAGCAGTCAGGTAATGACAATTGCCAACCCTTTAACAAATAGACCGTTGGGGCTTACATGCCCAGTTCACTTGGAATGAGAGGCTTGCTTGTTATTGCTCTGTTTGAGGAACATGTATTAGCTTCTCTTTTTAAAAAACTGTTTCAAGTGGAATGTTTCACTAGAAGAAAAAAACTGCTATGATTTGTTAAAGTGAAAAGTAGACGAAACAATGTTCATAGTCCCTGAAATTATTTCTGTGTCTCATGTGTGTGTCTCGTGTGTGTGTGTGTGTGTGTGTGTGTGTGTGTGTGTGTGTGTGTGACAGAGAACAACTTTTAGGGGTCAGCTCTCCGTCTACTGTGGATTCCAGAGACTGAACTTGGGACACCAGGCTTGTAGGCTCCTGTGGTGAGTGCTTTAACCTGCTGAGCTGTCTTGCTTTGGTCCCCCAAAATTACTGATAGAAAAATAAGTGAAAAAAATCCTTAAACTACTACTCATGACCAAGTGGCTGACGATGTAGGTCAGTGGTAGAGTAGGCCAATAAGCATTATAGACCTTTGGTTTAGTCGTCAATACCAAAATAAATACATGAATGAATTAGCTAACTGAAATAAAGACACCCACGGGCGCAATCACTTTGTGCGTGCGGAAACACTACTGACATTCTACACACGCTTTTGTGCTTCTGCGCATGCACACGCGGACACTACGGACTGGAATCGGGTCACAGCCCCAGTCTAGCACTCCAGGCCACCTCATTCCAGTGTCTTTTCCATCATCACTTCTGATGGCAGTGGCCACTGTATTATGATGCATTTAACCAGCCGGGGCGTGGCTTGAGAGCTTGGGGTTTAGGTGACTTCCCCTGTCCAGGTTGTCTTGGAAGTTCTACTCCCAGCTGTGTGTGAGGCTCAGCCTCTGCTGTTGGCTCGCAGCTTGTCAGTTCCCAGAGGTAGACTTCAGGGAGCTAATTAAGCCCTGGAGTCAAACACTGTCCAAGTCACCTGATGCCATTCAGAAGAGAAAAGATACAGCCTAAGTTAGAACCTAACTTTCTTCTGACCAGAGAGGCAAAGTATGAAATCTAAGAGTCCGTTTCCATTCATTTAGTGAGTGTTTGTGCAGTCACTGGCCACGTGCCAGGGTCGCTCCGAGTCATTCAAGTCTCTAGCCCTGTGCAGCTTGCACCACGCCAGATTAGCAACCTCAAAAAGGTGAGGAAAAGAGCAGCCTTGAGTTTTCTTGTTGCAATAAATAGGGTAAAATTGTACACTGCAGGCACATATATATTTGAAACCACCAAAAAAATGCCTGAGTCTTTTTGAGTATCAAGTCAAATGATTTTTACCAAGTAAAAATCACATACTCTCAGTAGAACAAGCAATGTCTGAGAGGCAGCAGTATCCAGAAAAGACATACTCTAGCTTTAGAGATGGAATACAAAGGAATCCCTTAGTATATTAATTTTAACTTATAGAGAAACTGTTTCCTAGAGTTTTGAAGTAATGTGCCTTCAAAAAACGGGTGTACTAGATGGCATTGATTTGGACATGACACATTTCCCAATATAAAAGTATTAGAGAGTATCCAATCAATCAGGCTACACACAGATCAAATGGGAAGCTACTGAATACCTACTGAATATCTACTGAAGCTACTGAGATCGGAATATCTACTGGCATAAGGATGACCAGGTCAGTTAGGAGATAGTTATATGAGGAGGCACATACTGACTCAGGAAGATACCTTGATCTATGGTTAAGTAAAAATAAAAAATAAAAACCAACAAGGGTAAAGAGGATTATCTATAGAAGTTAAAAAAAATAAAGAATAACATTCTCTTTTTATCTTTCTCTCCCCTCCCCTTCTCTCTGTACAGAAGTATGTACACACATGCCCTGATGTTTGAACAGACTTGTATGAACATGGAAATTGGTGTGGAAGATTGCTTGTCTAGCAATATTATTTTGGACATAGAAAATGGGATAGAGATATGGATGTTACATACACAATAGGTCTTTCATTATGTCCAAGCCCACTAGTGACTCATTCATTAGTGACTGGCTCACTAATTTTATAAAGTAGAAACATTTTAAAAAGTCCTAAGGTGGGTCAGGATTAAAAACATGTCACCGAAAGCAACTTACCATGCTGTCCATTGGTATTCATCTCCAGAGCGCTTACTGTTTACAAGGATGAGAACACTAGACTCACAAAGAGCCAACAATCTGAGAAGAAAACCCTAGTCACATAAAAGTGTTACAATTGGGAGGGAGGGCAGTATTGGGAGGGGAAGAGGGAGGGGGCTACAGCTGGGATACGAACTGAGTAAATTGTAATAATAAAATATTTAATTGTTTTAAGTGTTACAATTATCATGCCAAGGATAAAGCTGCTATAGGCACATACTGGAGAATGAGCATTAAGTCTCAAGAGCCAGCACTATGTAGCCAGTGATCTACATCTCCAGATCTTGGTCCAGACAGGGGCTCACTATGTAGCCCAGGCTGGCCTTAGATTCAGGGTGCTCATATCTCAGCATTCTGAGTGGTAGGACCAAAAAGGCTTACTCTACCACATTCATGTATCCTTTTCTAATCAGTGCTGCTGTGAGTACCACAGCACTTGTGCTCAGGTCTGCCACTTATTTGTCACCTGTCGGCACCTGTCGGCACCTGTCGGCACCTGTGACGCAGCCTCTCAGGCAGCCTCTCGGGCCTCCGACTCTGAGATGGGGAAAGAAAATTGCCAACTACGAAGGAATTAACATTGCATCAGCTGCCGTGAAAAGACCTTTCCCCACCACCCCGCCCACATATCCATGCACCTTTCACTCTCCTCTGACACTGGGAATTTGGAGCCGTTCCTTCACGACTTTTTCTTTGAAGTAGAGCCCTCCAGGCCATGGTCATTAGCAGACCTCTGAGACCCAAATGAGCCCCAGAGCCCGCTAGGGTTCTTGGATGTGTCCAGGCCCTTTTAGTCAAAAGTCCAGCTGCAAAGTCAGGCCACTTCTACTCACAGGGCAGTTGCAAACCATCTGTCTCTGTTCAAGAGAGTGCTATTGGGAAACATCACAACAGAAGTCAGGATCCAAATAGTCCGAGCCCAACTGTCTCCTGGTGTCGAGGCTCAGTGCCAGAGGCAATTCTCCAGAGGTGGCATGCCAGGCCGGCCTTCTGAATGCCAGTGAGGCCTGTACAGGGGGGAGAAGGTGGGGCATGGAGAATGGGAGTAGACAAAAACATTTCATGTCACTCTGGATCCCTTCTATTTCCTCTGCTATGTTTTTATATACTGAACTTAAAAAATGAAAATAGTAAATTTTGATTCTCCTGGTGCCTTGTGGGCCAGTATCGTGCTGTTTTCCCTTTACGGCGTTTGTAACTGACACAGTGCTAGATGCTATACAAGGGAAAGAACACCGACACTGTCCTTTAAGAATTGCCAGATAGCTAAATGTGAGACTTCAGTGGAAACATAAGGCATATCAAATACAAGGCTCATTTTAGGGATGGGGGGGTGTTCGACGTAGCTGTGTGGGAAGCCCGAAGCAAGCTGCCAATCAATGTCTCTTTAAGATTGCTTAGCAGGGAAGGAAGAGACTCGCACTAAGTCACTTAGCGAGCGGAGCAAAGGGGACAGACATACCGACTGGTTTTCCGGGATACATAGCAGTAGGAGTGGGGGGCCACATTCCAGGCTCTCCCACACCTCCATTACACAGCCTCCTTCTCCGCTGAGTCTATGAATTAGCCAGCAAGCATCAAGAGTGTTCCGACTTAGACAGTCCTAAGATGTGTCTGATTCCATGCTTCTAGGATCCGTTTAATAGGAAAGTGGCCTTCTATTCAAGCATGGACCTTTAAAAAAAAAAAAATCAGAACATGGCAGGCCTGGTGGTGCGCTCGGGAGCCAAGGCTACACAAAGAAACCCCTGTCTTGAAAAGCCAATAAATACATAAAAAGAAATAAATAACTTAATTATCTAATTAGGTCTCCGAAGATAGTTTGTGCTTCACGTTTAAATTGCACCCAAAGGAGGAAGTAGTTTGTTGTGGAAAAAGCACTCAACCCAGATGTCCATCAATGGAGGAATGGATACAGAAATTGTGGTATTTTTATACAATGGAATACTACTCAGCAATAAAAAAGGAGGAAAGCATGAAATTTGCAGGCAAATGGTGGGATCTAGAAAAGATCATCCTGAGTGAAATATCCCAGAAGGAGAAAGACAAACACGGTATATACTCACTTATATAGACCTATAAGATATGATAAACATAATGAAATCTATACACCTAAAGAAGATAATCAAGAGAGCGGACATGGGGTAAGATGATCAATCCTTGTTTAGAAAGACAGATGGGATGTGCATTGAACGTATGACAGGAGTCTACTGAGCGCATCTGAAAGACTCTAACTAGCAGTGTTTTCAAAGCAGATACAAAGACTCATAACCAAACCTTCGGCAGAGTACAGGGAATCATATGAAAGAAGGGGAGTTAGTATGATGGGGAAAGGATAGGAGCTCCACAAGGACCAAATATATCTGGGCACAGGGTCTTTTCTGAGACTGACATTCAACCAAGGACCATGTGTGGATATAATCTAGAACCTCTGCTCGGATGTAGCCCGTGATAGCTCAGTAACCAATTGGTTTCCCATAGTAAGGGGAACAGGGACTATTTCTAACAGGAACTCAATAGCTGGCTCTTTGACCTCCCCACCCCCCAAGGGAGGAGCAGTCCTGTTAGGCCACAGAGGAGGACTTTGCAGCCAGTCCTGAAGATACCTGATAAAACAGGATCAGAAAATGGGGAGGAGGTCCCCTCATCAGTGGACTTGGAAAGGGGCATGGTGGAGATGAGGGAGGGAGGGTGGGACTGGGAGGGAATGAGGGAGCAGGATATGGCTGGGATACAGAGTTAATAAAATGTAACTGATAAAAAAATAAAATTAAAAAAAAAAGAAAAAGCACTCATCTGAGAATCAGCCTTCCCCTACTCAAATCCCACCTGCAGCTCAGAAATTCTGTAACTGTGGGTGTCGGGCTGTCTCTACCCTGTCATTTCCCCCACTGAAATGAGAGTGACATAAGTCGCCTTTACCGTTTCTTTCTACTTAAGAATCTTGTGTGCAAAAGAACGTTAGAAAAGGACTAAAATTTTAATATGTCGGTTCTTCTGTGCCAGCCCCCATTTATTGACGTTGTGAAATGTGCCGAGTCCTTAGGGCTCGGCACAGCTCCTTTGGCATTGCTCCTTTGGACTCCCACAGACTGTAATTACCACAGGAGAACTACACCATATTGGGCCCATTAAAGTTCCATCATAGAGGGTAAATTGGGGCTTAGAGGTCCTGTTCCAACCGGGGGGTTTATAGGCAGTTATGGGCAGTTGCTTGAAGGAAGACTTTTCTCTGGTGGGATAGCCACTCAGACATTACCACGCTCCTCTTCTGTAAGTAACCACACCTCTGCACTCTCACAAGTAAATCCAGGTAAACTCCTTACTTAACTGGGATGGACTGGCAGAATCGTTCCTCTGGCCTGCTCTTTGTGCTCTGCTTGGGGTGCGTAGATGGTTTACTTACGTCACTCCTGGGCGACGTCACACGGTTGAGCACCCACCACAGTGACAGAATAGTTGCTTGAAGGGCTCTGTGGTCCTGGGAGCATGTGCCGCACTGGGAAATTCTAGCTATTTCATAGACACGCTGATTATGCTTGTCATCCTGAGACCTTGAGAGGAGGCAGCTCCATGCAGAGGTAATTTGAAAATGACAAAGACCTTCATTGCATGCCGACTCAACTACCAGCAGCCTTGCTGTGGAGAGACATGGCTCTTCTTTTAGTCTTATTTATCTTAGCCATGGAAGGATGGTGGTGGAGTCCACCTTGAATGAAGGACTTTAGTTTTCAGTAGAGCATAGTTCTGTGGGACTGTGTAGCCCTTTGGGTGCAGACAGACCCAACTGCTTCCTAGATATGTTACTATTTGAAGGTCACTTAATTTCTCTTAAGCCTCAGCTTCTTCATGTGTGGAATGGGAATAACATTTATCCCCCATGATCACTGCATTTGAGATGTTTAGCACAGTTCATAGTGCATGTTAAGGACTTGGTAGGGATAATTATTCAGGATTACAACCAACTGCAGAATTATCTTCAAATAAACACAATAGAGTTTACTTTCGTGTTGCTGGAAATAGTACAAATGATAACATAAGTAAAACCCTAATCCACCTAGTGGATACGCCATTGTTACACAGACACGAACTCCGTGCTCAGTTTCCACACAGGCAGCAAATACTCCACAGGAAATGCGGGTGCCTGGGCAGGTGCAGAGCGGTTGAAAGGAATAATGCTCAGCTAAAATACGGACAGCCTTCTTTTCACATGGGAAAGGGCTTCACCCAGACCCCTTCCCTGAGTCTCTAAGAAGCCAGGGATAAGGGAGGCCCAGCACCACAGGACTGCCGTCAAGTCCAGACACCACAATGCCGAGGAAGGCTCCCTGAATGGTCAGCCCTGCGGCTGCTCTGTTCTATAACTGACACCCTCCTTTCGTGTTTTTATTGTGCCTGTTAGGATTTTCTGTAGTCACTTCATGTCTATTTCTTCCCACATCCTCTTATGCCCGTGCATAGTAATATTCCATCACCAATGCATCATCTAGTCTTGGGGACGAGCCGTGTCATTTGCTTTGAATGATGACAGTGAGACAGTGCCGTAGTCATCAGTTTTAAATACTGTTTGAGACTTTAAAGGCACCTGCGTGGTGTGGTATTTATAAACAGAGTTGGCTTTCATAGCAATGCTAGAGATCTAGGCCCCCATTTTATTTTTCATGGTCATGCTGAAGTACCCTGATGACACATGGACCATATTGTGCACACAAGGCTCCTAATGACAGAATGATTGGCACAGCCTTACTTTCCTAAATAGCTTGCTGATTCACTCGTTCCATTTTTAAGCACCAACAGATTGGCACTGGTGATGTCTGCTAATTATTTGATTTTCCTCGTGACTGGCATGGGACTACCATCTGCAGCAAGCATTATAATATGATAGGTGTGACGTTTACACCACCCAGACCTTGACCAATTTTCAATAATGAGTAGCCTTGTCTATTTCTCTGATTCCCCTAGAGGTATCATTATTTATCATGTGTTGGAAACACAGCTTCCAAAAGTTCAGAAAAAAAAAAAAAAAACCCTGGTGACAGGTGACACCTAATTGCAAGTGGGAGAAGTCTCACTGTCTTCCTAGCAATGGCTTGTCAACTCAGAGGGCCTCGGCCTAGCAGTCACATATGTAAGATCCCGACACCTCTCTGGTTCTGCTCCCAACACCCATTCCTGGGTGGACGCAGCCTTGGATGGACGCTGAGGACCCTGTTTTCTATACTGTGTGTCCCCTTTTAGTCCCTGAGAGGAAATTTAATGATTTTCAGAAGTCCCTTGACATACTTTTTGTTGCTTTTTCTAAACCATCATCATGAGGTGCTACAGCTTCACTGAGACAGGCGAGCGATGCTTCTTTGAGTACATTAAATCACACCAGGCCACTCACTAAGAGATCTATTTGCTAGTTTTTGTAATGCTTCCACAAGAATAGGAAGGCAATCGCCTCCAAACGTGGTATGATTTCATTTCCTAACTCTTCATGCAACGTGAAGGTCAAAGCCCATGCACATTTTTTTCCCCACCATTTAGTGATTAGCAAAAGAAATGTAAGAGAATGTTTCTTTGCCCCCTAGTGGCCAGAGGCTGCTTCTGCAAGCAGATGACTTGGTTCAGGGAACTTCCAGACAGAAGTGAAAGGGTTTATAGATCCACCACTAAGGCACTTGGGAAAGTCAAAACTTTGAAGGGCTTGACAATACCACGTAGGAGCTAAACCCCAAGTATCAAGTAAACAGAGGCAGAACGGTACAGGCATAAATTCTCAGCCACATTGAGGAGAAAAGTAAAAAATAGGCCCTGCTTCATTATTGCTGACGTG